GCTGTGTTCATCCAGCTCTACACCTTGTTGCAGAAATAATAGTAAGCTTGAGTCGGCTTCACTATTATTGTGCTCTTTAAAAGAAGAGTTAATGTGTCACCGCACAATAATCTATACATTTTGTAAGCAAACCACTCAAACATGTTCGGATATATCTCTGGAGTGTGTGGAATGTGAATGCAGACATCCTAGCCTAGAGGTAGAGACATTACCACTGCAGAACAAGATCCTTTAATAGTCTATCCAGGCTTAACCAGCCTCTGCAATACCTGGGGCTGGAGGTGGCATGGTGGCTCAGTGGTTAGCACTACTGCCTCACAGAACCAGGGACTCAGGTTTGATTCCAGCCTCCGGCAACTGTCTGTGTGGAGTTTGCACGTTCCCCCCGTGTCTGCGTGGGTTTCCTCCAGGTGCTCTGGTTTCCTCCCACAGTCCAAAGATGCGCAGGTTATTTGGATTGGCCATGTTAAATAGCCCGTAGTATTCAGGGATGTGTAGATGAGGTGGATTATAGGGGTATGAGTCTGGGTGGGATGCTCTCAGGGTCAGTGTGCCCATGTTGGGCTGAAGGGCCTGTTTCTGCACTGTAGGGATTCTATAATTCTATGATTCTAATCTCAAGCAGGGTGATTGGCCGTTAACAAGAGGTAAAAGGATGAGAAAAATCTGGAGGGAGGAAATCAGCTGCTCAATTCCAGCTTATGAAGCAGAGAAAAGTACAGGTCAATACAGTGCTGATCATATCTAGGTTGACACAAGTCCAACTAATTTGAAGGAACGTATCACTGCTATCAATATTGAGTAGACAGATCTAATGAATGGCAGAGAAGGAAAGAGAGGAGAAAGAAGAGATGACTGACAAAGTGAGAAGGCAAGTAAGGGAAGAACAGAGGTTAGGGGCAAAGATATGGAGGAGAGGGAGAGGGATGTGGAAGGAGATGGGAGGGACTGTGAGAAAGAGTGGAAAGAAGATAGGAAAAGGGAGTGATAGAGCTGCATATTTTTAAAATTAGACATTTGCTTTCCTCTCACATAATTAGACACCAGATCCATGCAGGAGTAAAAGAAACTAAACAGTAAAAACTGGCCTCAGAGTGCATTTAATTTTGGTACAATGGGTGCCATTTCAGATCAAGAATGACACCGACGTTGTGTGTGACACTCGTGAGGCAGGTAATGCTGAACACCATCTTAGAAACAGTACGAGTGCAGGTGCAGTCAGCAAGCTCTGAGCAGAAAGCCATTGCCACCTGGAGTCTTAAGGGTGCAAAGCTCCTAAATTAGCCTCAGCATGGAAGATTGCAAGGATGCCCTGGTTTCCTGAAGGACTCCTCCCTGAAACCTAACAGATTTCTGCCTCAGTGCCGGGCATTGGTAACACTGTCAATTGCTACGAAGGTTATTGTTGCCATATGCTTTTGTCAATTAGCAGGGTGGGCCAGTTGCTATTACTGACATTGCCCAGTTCACCGTCCACTGCTGTGTAAGGAGGGCACTGAGACTCTGACTGCAAAGGAATCTGAATATATTTCATTGTACGTCACCAGTGAGAAGCAGATAGAACAAGTATGCAGAGTCATTGGATTTGCATACTTCTCTATCATACTACAGTACTCAGAGGCAGCTATAGAACTGCACAGGTTGCTTGATCATCTTGTCTATCTATTAACTTGCCTTTCTTAGCAGATTCTCTGATATCTTAAGTCCTTGCACTAAGCATCAGAAATACCATCTTTAGCATTAACAGTGGATCAAGGATTTGCAAGCCGTTTCCCACACTGTCAGCAATTCATGAGGGTCACCAGATAGAAGAGATACTTTGTGAAATTGTTAAACAGTCAAACCTTTGATCAGTTACACCAATCATATCCACCACTTTCATTATTTGAAATATTTCTCAGTGTGCTTTCACAGGTGAAGGCAGATACTTCAATTGTGATGTGTGTCACCTCCTTTCAATTCCATTTCCCCACTACCAGGCAGCAAAGCAACAAAGGGGCAGCTTAGGCAGCTCTGCAATCCATCTGTGCTAAGGGGCAAGTGCAGGGATCTCACCAACATCAACAAATGCAGCAGGGGCAATGCTGGCAGCAACATGCCCTGCTTTTACCTCAGTCATTTGTCCTTCAACAGTGGTGAGGGAACGGGCAGAGGGGCTGGGCAAGGCAGAGGGGCTGGGCAAGGCAGAGAGGCTCCCAACACACAAGATCAGCTCTCGACGTGCCTGCGCATAAGCGCCTCAGGAGGCTCAAGCTTTCATAGCAGGCTGGTACTGACGTCTGCAGTCCCTGGGAACGGTGCAGCAGTCAGAAAATTATTGCCAGCGGCCAAGAAAGTGCCTGTTGCGGAAGAACACCCCACTCTCATGCCCCTTCTCCCCACTCCCCCTTCCCGAACTCCTTGCCTTCAATCACTCCAGATATCTGCTTCTGTCTCAGCTGAAACCTCTCTTTTCCTGCAAAAAAAACAAACCAGAGGGGTGTAAGGGCTTATCAAGGCTTGTGTGCAGCAGAGGGAAGGAGAGCATTTGTGGAGGATGACCGTGAAGCATGGGTGCGAGGGGCATGTATTAAGAATGAGGGAGACTACTGGCTGTTCAGAGGAGGTGCCTGCAAAGAAAGAAAGAGAAATAGAGAGACTGGAACTGCAAGGTGTATTAACCTGAGGTGTGCTCAGCAGGAGAGTGCCAGATCAGACAGGTTGTTTGCATTGATATCCCACTGGTGTTATGCCACTCACCTTACCAGATCTCTGGAGGTACTAGATCGTCTTGGTGCACTGTCTTCAGGTTGAGGGGACCACACTACTACTTCTTTAGCCAGTACTATCCCACCTCCCTAGTTGGAGATAGCTGCCCTTTTCCTCCAGTCCTTGGAAAACATGGCCACAATGCAGCCCCTCCACTCCCCCAGCAAGATCATCAGATAAAAATAAGGGACCTGCGCGCAAACTTCCCAGTTTCCAATCCATTTCCGTTGGAGTTGCAAACTAAAAGACCCAAGTGCTAACCAACTTTTCTAAAATATAATGCAATCCTTTTAAACAGAAATCCTTTCTTTGACAGAAAGCTGTACCATCCTGCCTAATCTCCCCGGTTAGTCAATCAACAGGCAGGTTCTTTCGTGGTTTGCTCTCACAAAGACCAACCACAAAGATTCCATCTCAAAAACAATAGTGTGGAGCTAGAGGAACACAGCAGGCCAGGCAGCATCGGAGGAGCAGGAAAGCTGACATTTCGGGTCGGGACCCTTCTTCAGAAATGGGGAGGGGCAAGGAAGCAGGGAAATAAATAGAGGAGGGGTGGGGCTGGGGAAGGCAGGTGGGATGGTGATAGGTGAGTGCAGGTAGGGGGTAGTGGCGATTGGTCAGTGGGATGGGTGGGGCAGATAGGTGGGAGAGAAGATGGACAGGTTATTTCAGATCAAGGAGGCGGGGATGAGAAGGAGGGTTGGACACAGGATGAGGCCAGGGGTGGGGAGATTTTAAAACTGGTGAATTCCATGTTTAGGCCATTGGGCTACAGGCTCCCAAGATGGAATATAATGTGTTGCTCCTCCAGTTTGCGGGTGGTGTCATTGTGACACTGGAGGAGGCCCAGGAATAACATGTCACCCAGGGAGTGGGAGGGGGAGTTAAATTGGTTCCCGACCGGAAGGTGGTGTAGTTTGTCGCGTACAGAGCGCCGATGCTCTACAAAATGGTCTCCGAGTCTACACTTGGTCTCACTGATGTCGAGGAGGCCACATCGGGAGCAGCGGATACAGTAGGCCAAGTTGACAGATGTGCAGGTGAACCCCTGTCTGTTATCTCAAAAAGTTGGGTTCTGAACTGACTTTGCACCAGAAACTAAAGTGGTCAGATTCCACTTGTCATGAGACATACTGAGCAATCAGCATCAAAACTCAAGGAAAAGAGTCCAAATTTAAGGTGAAGAAAATGTATATGCAGTTCTTTATAGACCCTCATTCCTAACCACCTTATTTTACAATAAACATTTATATACATGCCCTGAAAATTTCCTCTTTCTGATCATTACAATAGATTGTCTTCTTAACATTAATTTTCTCGTTGTCCTGCATTTTTTTTGTTTCATGAATATAATTTTATTTGATCGAAAAACGTTTCTTACCATTCAGCGGTTTCCCATTCACTTTCCATTGAACCTCCGGTTGCGGCTGGCCACCTACTTCACATTCTAATTCAGCATTTTCTGCAGAAAAATATACTTTGCTTCTGGGTTTTTTGATCCAGTAAGGGGCAGCTGTTAAAAAAAAAGTCAGTATTTGAACGATTCAAAGAATTGCAGTTGTTATTTCCATTTCCCAGTTATTAAATCACAAACAGCCATGACAAAAAAGCTAGTGCTCAGTCAAGAGATTTCCTCCCCTGTCAGATTGTAATTCATATGGTTTCAATGCATATCTTCTTCCTAAGGTACGTTTTTTCTTTGGCATTTAGTCATCCTGTTCAACTTCCACCACAAGTTCTCCATCACACTATTGATTTCATTTCTCTCCACTTCATCTCACACAGACTAAAACTGACACAAAGTAATGATGACCTCATACTGAGCCAAAGATAAGCAGTCAAATTTGAATAACTGAAACTTTAACCTGAGCTACTGCAGTTCACCAACAGATGTTCTGTCAGCACTCATTCTTTCTGACTTGAAACCTCTGCAGATCCCAATATCATCCACAAGGAGGAGTTTGAATCTCAGCAATTTGACACTTGGCAATGACCTAACAGGATGCTTGAATCGTAGCCACATGAGATCATACTGACTTATTACAAATCAACAGAACTGCCATCAAATTTGCTGTTCCAAGGTTCAGGTGCCAAGCATAAATTCATTAGCTGGCAACAGTATAATCTTAAGTGTAAACCCACTAAAATTCAGCAGGGAAGATTCACCAATGTGACTGAATCTCCTGGAGTGTAACATGCAAGTTTGCATGTCTTCAAAAGGGGCAGCCAGATCTTTAACAGGAGACATTGAGTCCCTTGGTCACTCGAATCGATTTTGTCAAAATCTCCTCTGCAGCTTTAGCAGTATCCAAGGAGATTGCGGTTTCTTGCAGACCCGTCAAATCGAGGCACATATTTATAGTATCAATTTGAAAATTGAATTCTGTACTCCTCCAGATACACAGAAAAGATGTGCTTCACACCCCATAAACTATCAATTCTGGCTAAAATCTCAGACACAATCTGTAAAAGGAAGCTGGTTATCCATCATTTATCCCAGAGATTGATTTCTGTGAGATCACTTCCTTGAACACTATTGCCTGTTTATTAGCAAACGCTGCTTCTTGAATTAGGAAGTGTTTTTGTTTTGCTTAAAGACTTTCAAAATAAATTATATAAAATAAAGAGCTTTCTTTTTGAGTAATTCAAATGTTTGTCACAATTTCAAACAAAAAAAATTGACATCAACTTCAAAAGTAGAGAAAATGTTTCAACAGTAAGTAATTTACAGAAATAACTTATGGTCAATTTTTTAAAATTCATTGTGATTTTGGGATTGCTGATAAGATTAGCACATATCACCCCGTTAGTGGGTAAATCTCAGCTGCCTTTCAAATCACTGTTGTCCATATGATGGAGGGGCTTCCATTTACAGCTTGTCTTCTGATAAGCTATCAATTAATATCCAGTTATTTTCTGAAAAAATCAGATTTTTTTTCCACTTAAAAGACGTGTCATGTCCCAGGACGGAAGTTGAATACATCTTTAAATTAACAATCTACATTTATTTTGGTATTAAATTGAAGTTGTTTCCCACTAGATGGAGCTGCATATCTTAAGATGAGGAAAGACAAGAATTTTGAAATCCATCGCTGCATATAGAAATGTTTCTTCTGACACGATATCCCAATCAGGACATGGTCTTTTTCCTGCCGCAACCCTCAAACCAGCAAACTCAGTCTGTTACTCTTAATCTTCAAATCTGTCCCACGTTCAACATGTGGCACTTGAAATTGATTGCCAAATGTTGAAAATTTTCCATCAGGGCAATTTATATATGAAGGGACAGGTAAAAAGGATGGTAAAACCTAGCTATTCATTTTAAATTTTCCTTCAATAATGTTTTCAACAATTTATTTGCCTGTTCTCTAGTTAATGTGATACATTATTTCATAGATTGCATTGTAGAGCTAAACTACAACATTCCGTGCTGACAGTCAGTAAAATTATACCAGCATTATTTTGGTCGGGAACATATTTGGCCAGGTCCACATTCAAGCCTACCTAAGTCTACATGCTGACGGACAGGATCAGACCAATCCATCCCAATACATTAAATGATTGAGAACTCTTTAGAGCTAACTAGTTCCCTATTAATCCCGTCACCTCCTTGTTGAAGTCGCATATGCTACTGAATGAATGAATGATTTCTTTATGTTCGCACATACATCTTGAAGATAGAGTGAAACATGTTTTGCCACCACAATGCAGTGCCATTTTGAGTTACAGTAAGGATAAAAAGAAATTGTTTAAATAAGACTTCACGTTCTCTTTCAATTCGGGTCTCAAGGATGAAGTCAGGGCTTCTGCAAGGTATTCCGGTCCTCAAGAAGTCCCACAGCAATGGGAGCAGCAACAACAACGGCAATGTCCCAAGAGACCCTAGCTCTGTTGCTGCTGCCACATACCGATACCACCAAGAGCTCAGGCTCTGGGCCTACCTTTGCTAGGAGTCTCTGTTCTGAACACCGCCAGCGCAAATAATCCAGGCTCTGGGCCTACCGTCGCCAGAAGTTCCCATTCCAGGCACTCCTACCATTACCAAGAGTCCAAGTTCTGTGATTAACACCACCTTGAGTCCATTATCCTGTGATCTAGATCAACTGTGACCAAACTATTACAGCAGGTATGAGGTTGCAAGTGCAAAGTGCATTTCAAATTTTCCATGCGATTCAAGCACCGTTAAAATAATAAAGCCACAGAGTGCCATCCTGTGTGTTCGTTTCATCTGAGCAGAATATCCAAGAGACTAGTTGGAATCTAACTATGCTGGAGGCAGTGGATCTGGAGGCTGGAAGTCAACTTAATGAAGTGCGATGGTTCCCACTTTCACTGGAATTACATTCTCGACAAGAAGACTCAAGTTCAATCTTCCCACTCGACTGTCAATTGAGACGCTCAAATGTTCAATTCATGAACTCTTAAGGACCATTTGAAGGACGTAATCCTAACAAGATTGGAATTATTTCAGCTCCATGCAAACTGAAAAAGTATCAGCCTACCCAACTGATTAACCATTACCTAGAGATTGTCAGTTTGCCAAGGGTCAGGTGTGGTGGGGCTCTCTCCAACTACATTAATCTTTGCACAATCAAGGGATTAGTGTAAAACAGGGGTGGTCTCTGAGAGCTACCCCCAATTTTCTAGTTTTGAACCCTCATGACTCCCACTTCCCGCAACCTCCATTACTACCACAAATAATTGAGCAACAAGGGATCTGCAGCCTTGGCAACAATGCAACCCACATTATTATTATGGGCTAACTAACCATTTTCACAACGAATCTGGGTGCATATGAACTTGCGTCAGTGCACAACAATGCAGAAACTAATTAGATACTGAATCTTGACAAATAACCTATCGATGTCACACTGAGCTGGAAAATACCATGAATACACTTGGATCACCAGGCAAATCCATTCTCATTGGGTCTGGAACAAAAATCCAAAATTGAGCAGTCCTCATTTTTGATTTAATTGGCACATTCTCAGAACACTAACTCAAAGCCCAAATACATTTGAATTAACTTAGTTGATGGCATGACCTGGGGAAATTAAACTGACTGTTAACGTGTGATCAATTAAATGAAGATAACATTACTGAGATTTTGAAAGATCTGTCTCATTTATATGCAAGAATCCAAGTAAACTGAGCGCACTGATTAGTATTGCATTGGATGTTATACAGATCGATTGAAGTAAAATTTGAGAAAGTAGGTATTGCACCCAGGACCACCAGTCGTCCAAAGATCTTTATGGACAATGAAGGACTTGAAGTATAATCACTGTTATTTATTTTTCATGCATGAAAACACTGACTAGGTCAGCATTTATTGTGGCAGCCAATGTGCTCACAGTTACTTCCACAAACAGCAACGAGATAATGACTGATCTGTTTGTGATATTGATTAAGGGATAAATATTGGCCAGGTCACTGTGGTATATTCCTCACTCTTCAAATAGTAAAATAGAACCTTTTACATCCATCTGAACAAGGGGCTGGGGCCTTGATTTAATATCTCATCTGAAAGATGCACAATTTAACTGTACACAGCAGTCTTTTAACATTGCAATGGAGTATCAGTGGGGTCACTTTGTGCTCAAAGCCTATAGCAGGACTTGAACTCAAAACCCTGTGACTCAGGATCAAGGGTATTGTGTTATGTCTTGCAGCAGATTTGTGATACAATTTTCAAGCTACATGCAGATGGTATCACCACCTTATCACAACCTGTGCCCTATCAGTGTATAGCTCTCCGTCTCCATCTTGCTGAGCTTTGTCCTCTTGCAGCACGAGACGCTGCAGGATGCATGGTATAGTACAACTGAATTGCTTAGCCCAGACAGGCAAGTACCTGTGATTGTCATGTACATCAGTAAATACTAGGACCCGTAACAAACTTCATTGAGTTCTTCAGTATTATGTAACCTATACATTGCAGTAATGTTGTGGGAGCAGATCATCAGCTATCACACATTATTATCACATCAAAGAGTAACTACCAACTGAGCAATGGCTGACATGATACATTAAGTAATAGAAATCTCTTGAAAGGAAAAAAAGTTCTGTGGGTCATAATTCAAACCTAATTAACTTCAATTAATGTACTGTTCAAAAGCATTTTTCTATTAAAGTGAAGATGGTAAGGTAGAAATGAAAAGGGAAAACATAATCCATTACCTTCCACTGTAACGGAGAAGGCATGTTTGACAACACCAAATGCATTTTCGGCTTTACATTCATATTTTCCATCATCAAGTTCTGTGACATTAACTATTTTCAAAGTTTTGTTGAAGTTCTCTTCAGTGGCTTTACGTTTTGGCATATCACCATCGATCTTGGTCCAGGTGATTTGGGGTGTGGGGCTGTGAAGAAAATAGCAGTTGTTTCTGATATAAGCTGACCGCACAAACCAAACTGACACAGCCCAAAAGAGTTACATTATATATGGTTAAATTAACAATACAAAAAATACTGATCGCATATTTTTAAAATTATTTTTCATCAACCTGGTTGGACATGTTATGACACACTTCCATGGCAGGTTGAATGTGGATTTCTGCCTCAGAGGCAGGGACACTACCACTGTGTCAGAAGACCCCTTAATTATATATTTCATGCTAATTAGAATTATAGTTGAAGATACCAAAATTACCAACACAGAAATACATTTACATGCAAATAATGACATCAAATAAACCATGCCAACTGAATGGTACTGTGCTTCAGTGTTTAGCACTGCTGCCTCACAGAACCAGGGACCTAGGTTTGATTCCAAACTCAGACAACTGTCTGTGTGGAGTTTGCACATTCTCCCTGTGTCTGTGTGGGCTTCCGCCAGGTGCTCTGGTTTCCTCCCACTGTGCAGATTAGGTGGATTGGCCACGCTAAATTATCCATATTGTCCAGGGATATGCAGGCTAGATGAATTAGCATAGTAAATGCAGAGATACGGGGATAAAGTTCTGGGTGACATGGTCTTCAGAGAGTCAGCGCAGAATCGATGGCCCAAATGGCCTCTTTCTGCACAGTAGGAGCTCTACCAGTTTTGTCAGTCTGTGTAGTATTTTCACAATTATATTTTGGGAGGCTGAAATATCTCTGTTGGCTTCATACAGTGAAAGTGGGTCATTAATTGCTTCAAGAGTTTTCACTTTGTTACTTACAGGCCTTCAGCAATACATTCCAATTGAAGAGTTTCACCTCGCAAGGCAATAATCTTTGAGCTGCTGCCAGAAGGTGTTAGAAATCTTGGTGGTCGATCTTTTATTGAATTTGCTGCAAATGTAACAGAATTCAATTTGAATTTGACGTTAGGCGAAAGGATAAATGTTGATTTTTATTGAGAGCATTGTTAAACTTTGATAAGAAGTTCAACTAATTAAACAAAAGTCAAAGAAAGGGAAAAGTGAAAGCAAGCCATTAAGTTAATTTGGTTAATGCTTGGCTGAGAATTTCAGCAGAGCAGAAACAGAAATAAAATCAGTCAGAGCCTGTAAAGTCAAAATTGTGTTTGATCTTTACTGAATTTCCACACTATTTTACTGTTTCAGCACTTTGCTTGAAAGTTAAATAGTTTCATATTTTTATTTGACAATCTTTGGCTTTCCGATCAAACAGTGATGCTACGTAGACGTTATTGTATAAAGGACATGTGCCAGACGTATACCAGCAAATCACTGTAGTACACTGGCACTCTAAAATTATAAAATACCTGCAGCGTAAAATGCCTTTCACACTATTATGTACTCAGTTGAAACTAATGAACAGGAAGTTCTACAGGACAAAGTTAGACACTATCAATAAGGAACTGCCAAGTTGGAATCAATTCCATCACAGTTAGGCCAATATTTAATGCCTAAACACATCACTATGTGCCTCTTTCTGGCAGCAATGCAGTTAACTTTCAACAAATAGGCAGCCTCGCGTGAAAAAAAAAGTGGACAACAAATTTTGGAGATTTTACAAACATCTCCAGCTTTAGTAATGGAAGGAGCCCAATGCAAAAGAAAAGCAAGGCCAATATCACCTTTACAGTTATTGAAAATGCTGTCCTTGCACTTGAGTTTGCAGCAGAGTGTTCTTACAGAAGTGCAGATATTGTGCACATTACCTTTCAGTGTTGGAGCACATACTGCTTTTGTTACTATCACTACAATTCAAACTCTGCGATAGTCTTTGTCTTGTCAAGTACTTTGTTCCAAAAAATATCAACATGCTTCAGAGTGAAATAAATGATAATCAGTTGAGCTCATAAAATGGATTGATAGAAGCGCTATACATTCACAGTGAGGAACCCATTGAAATAGAAATCCAAAGCTACACTGGCCCTATCCCCCACCTCTTCCTCCGTTACATCGATGACTATATCGGCGCCGCTTCGTGCTCCCATGAGGAGCCCGAACAGTTCATCCACTTCACCAACACCTTCCACCCCAACCTTAAGTTCACCTGGACCATCTCTAATACCTCTCTCTCCTTCCTGGACCTCTCTGTCTCCATCTCTGGCATCCACCTGGAAACCGATATCCATTTCAAGCCTACCAGCTCCCAGAGCTACTTAGAATACACCTCCTCACACCCACCTTCCTGCAAAAATGCCATCCCCTATTCCCAATTCCTTTGCATCCGCCGCATCTGCTCCCGGGATGAGGCATTCCACTCCCGGACATCCCAGATGTCCTCGTTTTTCAAGGACCGCAACTTTCCCCCCTCAGTGGTCGAGAACGCCCTCGACTGTGTCTCCCGCATTTCCCGCAACTCATCCCTCACACCACCCTCCCCACAATAACAACCAAAACGAATCCCCCTCATCCTCACGTACCACACCACCAACCTCCGAATCCAACGCATCATCCTCCGACACTTCCGCCATCTGCAATCTGACCCCACTACCAAAGACATTTTTCCTTCCCCACCTTTATCTGCTTTCCGGAGGGACCACTCTCTCCGTGACTCCCTTGTCCACTCCACACTCCCCACCAGCCCCACCACACCCGCCACTTTTCCCTGCAACCGCAGGAAGTGCTACACCTGCCCCTACACCTCCTCCCTCACCCCCATCCCAGGCCCCAAGGAGACCTTCCACATCAAAAGATGTTCACCTACACATCTGCTAATGTGGTATATTGTCTCCGCTGTTCCCGATGTGGTCTCCTCTACATCGGGGAAATCAAGCGGAGGCTTGGGGACCGCTTTGTGGAACACCTACGCTCGGTTCGCACTAAACAACTGCACCTCCCAGTCGTGAACCATTTCAACTCCCCCTCCCACTCCTTAGACGACATGTCCATCCTGGGCCTCCTGCAGTGCCACAACAATGCCACCAAAGGTTGCAGGAACAGCACCTCATATTTCGCTTGGGAACCCTGCAGCCCAATGATATCAATGTGGACTTCACAAGCTTCAAAATCTCCCCTCCCCCAACCGCATCCCAAAACCAGCCCAGCTCGTCCCCGCCTCCCTAACCTGTCCTTCCTCCCACCTATCCCCTCCTCCCACCTCAAGCCCTACCCCCATCTCCTACCTACCAGCCTCATCCCGCCCCCTTGACCTGTCCATCCTCCCTGGACTGACCTATCTCCTCCCTAACTCCTCACCTACACTCACCTTTACTGGCTCCATCCCCGCCTCTTTGACCTGTCTGTCTCCTCTCCACCTATCTTCTCTTTTAGCCATCTTCTATCTGCCTCCCCCTCTCTCCGTATTTATTTCAGAATCCCCTTACCCTCCCCCATTTCTGAAGAAGGTTCTAAACCTGAAACGTCAGCTTTCCTGCTCCTCTGATGCTGCTTGGCCTGCTGTGTTCATCCAGTTCTACACCGTGTTATCTCAGATTCTCCAGCATCTGCAGTTCCTACTATCTCTGAAATAGAAGTAACTTCTTTTTTGGAATATTCAGGAAGTCTGGGAGACTTTGTTGCTTTCTCTATAGCAATGCCTCAGCCAATCAGAGCTAACTTGCCATGAATCAGCACCTTTTCATCTTGTATTGTAAATTGTGGTGGTCATTTGAAATTTTCCATTCTTGAATTTACCCTGATCAATGCAAAGTAAAATATTTTGGCAATACATTACTCTTTTCAGTATCGCTAAAGTTGTGTTCCTGTGCATTTTTTGTGGGTGATAGTAGATGATTGATTGAAATGAATAGAACAGACACAAGCTAAAACAAAATGGCCTCAGTGTGAATGATTCACATGGGAAGTCGTGTACAACAGCAAGCAAAATACCCAGTCTGTGCCTCACAATTAACATTCAACATTCACAGACAGTGTCATCATTTCAAAATAGCACAATATTGGGAGACTTATTTGACACACCATTGTAATTTGTAGCTGCTGTGTGGAATTTTTTTTTAAAAATAAGTGTGTTATTTCTAATTTTTGCCCCAGACAGTCATTAATGAGAACATCAATTGACTGGAAGCTAGAGCATTCCAGCAAATTGACTTTGCCTTTCATTTGAATATTTATGTTGTAATTTCGAGAGTGGTGAATGTGAACAGCAGGTCTGCTGAGCGTCATTATGCTTGCATATATGTTGGCATAATTGTTTGACTGAATAATTGTGAGACTATGCTGATTTAATGATGTTTTATGTATTACAAAATCAATTCTGAAAATCCAGGGTAATGTAGTTTGAAGAAACAGAAATATTAGGTTATTAAAATTACAGAGACAGTCAATTAAGATGAACTGATATTTCTATTTTATATACGTTGACATCAAAATCAAATTGTAATATTACACCATACTACACAATGTCTTGGAATCCTATTGCCACTGTCATATAAAACCACTCATTTACATTACAAGCAAGCTAGTTACTTGATGTGCAAATCAAAGAGAGTGTAATAACGACTACATATATGCAACAAGGTTCATCGTCTTCCTGCCCCTTGCATAAGACCTTGATAAATGCTGATTTCTGGGACAGGGGCTATACATAAAAATAAGAAAGCACCCTGCATACACACTTTGGGGTGTTTCTAATTCAGTTTAAAGCATTCCCTCAGGTATGTAGAATACTATACCAAAGCTCCAAGAATCAGATGCATAACTTAACATGGGTAGGAGAAACACAGGCAGATGGTATTTGTATTGAATTTTTATGATAGTATTTAATTTGTGTACTTCTAACAGTTAAGAAGCTTTATTTGCTTTTAAGCCTAAAGATAATTATTTTCTAAGATATTTCATGCACAAATGCATCACTTCAATGTCGTGATATTTCAGAAGTGATGCCTTTTATCTAGATGAATGTCCCACCTATCAATGGCAAGGAGTATTATAAACATTGCTATTTGAAGAGGTCTAATGATCGTGTGGTTAGACAGGCAAGCTACTATTTTGGTCATTTGCAATTACTATGAATATTATTCTCGACTAATATCTCAATAATAAAAAAAAATCAAGTAATGAAAAACTGGAAACACATTATGAAAAGAAAATATTGATCTGGGTTAGATTAAACTAGCAATTGAGTAACTTTAACAACAAATCACGAATCTTCAATTTTTTTTTCAAAAAAGCTAATTAAACCAAACTGTTTTGCTCTATTATTCTTTCAGGATAAAATGAGTACATTGAAAAGCGTCTATCTGTCGAAGAGATGGAAGGATTGACAATCCAGGAATCGGAGACACAATGGTAGAATAGTCAGCAGTGTCTTGAGAAGGTTGCTGAGACTTCCAGTTTTTGTTTCAAAGCAGCAGAGAGGCAGCAAGCGTGCTAAGTGTGTTCTAAACAGTAAGTTTGTTAACCAAAAAAAACTAGATCCAATTAGTACATTGATGACATCAAAAATGCCAAGGATGGATAAAAGGGCCATTATTAACCATTATTTTGAACTGGAAAACTGGACAGAAAAAAGCTGGAAATGCACAGAAATTATGTCTGTGGTATGTCTCGAATGCTATAAAGAAGCTTGAAGCATAAACAGTTGTTAGTATGCAGTTACTCGAATTCATGCTTATGCAAACCTCAGTCAACATGGGGAAAAAAACTCACCAGCAGACAAATTATTGTAACTGACAGGTGACTCTGTTTGATTGGTCAGTACGACTGGAACAAACAAAACAATGTAAACAAAAAATAAAACATGGGATAACAGAAAAAACAACTTTAGTGCAGAAAAAGATCATCGAAATTAATGATTTCATAAACAGAAAAAAAAATGAATTGTACACAGAGCAAGTATGATTAAAGCCACATAAAGCTGTTTGTGAGCTTACAGTAAAGTTAAACTTCATCATATGCATGTTAGTTACCATCATTGCAAATTTGTCTCTCTGAATGGCTTACAAAAGCATAGATATTTTAAATCAATCTCCTCAGACATGTTATGACACACCTCTGGAGCAAGTGGGACTTGACCCGAAGGTAGAGACAATACCACTGCATCACGAGAACCCTCAGTTAGCACAGTCAGTTATTTTAATCAACCTCGTCGGGTATGTTATGACACAGATACACTAATGTTTCTATCAGATTACTGAACAGTGATCGAGAGCAGGGAGAGAACTTGATTTTGACTCCATCATAACATTGAGGCAGAGGTCACTTGTAGCAGTCTACAGCCACTCCAGCTAAGATAAATAACTTCAACAGATTTCGTGTGCCTTTTGGACAGTGTCACATCATGCAACATAGTCATTACATAAATAACATCGGTAAGACTGAATTATAATATAATAGTAGTATCTGAAAATTTAAACCTGTTGAAAATCATTCTTTTTCAGGCAGGAGACAGAGTTTTACCAATGAGAAAATCACAAAAGAATCAGAATATTTGCTGATACATACTTACTTACAGGTGGGCCGAAATTAAGTCAACATTGTTTTAACAGAATAGTGAGAGAACAGTACCTCACATTTTTCTGTCCAAGGAATTTTGAAACAGAGAAGCGGCAGCAAATAGAGAATGTCAGTCAATATCCAAACCCGAAATAGAATGGACAACTGGCAGAAATGTGTCCATATTGTCATTCCCCTTTACTTTAAGGAAATCAGACAGTGTCATTTGGGGGCATAAGGATAGACTGGATGTGAAGTGGATTGCACAATGCACATGAAAACCAAAGAAGGAGGGAACACAAACTAAAGAAATAATAGTCCATGGCTGAATAGCCAATGAAGAACACAGTCAGAAAATCAACATAAAAAGAACGCTTCTTGCAGAGTATCAAACTTATGTAAAGGCCTTCCAAAACCTCTCCAAATGGGCAGAGATTGCACAGTCAGCAGGTAGGTTCAATTCTAAACTTTTGTGGTAAGAGAAGGCTTTTCAACAATGCAAAGGAACACAGAGCAAATACAAATTGGCAGAAACTCTGTTTGCTTCACAAAGACAATGGACTCTTGTCGGAGCAATCCATGCTATTGCCCATTATGTTGTGTGAACTTGCTGTACCACTGAGATAGATTTGTTACCACCATCCTCTTTCAGTGTAGGGATGTTCAGGGCCTGCTTGGCCTAGTGTGGTAGAGGAAAATCACTTGGTCATCTAATATGAAGCTCTTATCTGTAAACAAGATGTAGTTTACTAATGGTAACAATTCGGTCAAAGTTACAGTGGTGAGACAGACATCGTTGCAAAGACAATGAGGAGGATCTTCTTGGTAGGTTTTCAACATTGCATGCTCTTCGCCTACCAAGCTCATATGTTCGCAATATAGTGGATGGTATTTAGAGGTCTTGTGCAACATCTACTCAAAACCTTTCTTTTCTTATTATGCACATTAGCATATCATGTATATGGGAGGCATGGTGGCTCAGTGGTTAGCACTGCTGCCTCACAACGCCAGGGCCGTAGGTTCAATTCCAGCCTCAGGCAACTGTCTGTGTGGAGTTTGCACATTCTCCCTGTGTCTGCGTGGGTTTCCTCCAGGTGCTCCGGTTCCCTCCCACAGTCCAAAGATGTGCAGGCTAAGTGGATTGGCCATGTGAAATTGCCCATAGTCTGTCCAGGGATGTTTAGGTTAGGTGGGTTAGACATGGGAAAATGCAGGGAAAGGAGAATGGGTTTTGGTGGGATGCTCTTCGGAGGGCTGGTATGGACTTGTTGGGCCAAATGGCCTGTTTCCACACTGTAGGGATTCTATGACTCTATGTATCGGGTAGATAATGGCACAGTAAGAATGTCACTGGACTGGGAATCCAGGAAGACATGGTTGACAATTTAGGATCGGGTTCAAATCCCACTGCAGCAGCTGGGGGATATTGAAATTCTATTCATTAAATCTGGAATTGAAAGCTAGTCTCAGCAACAGTGACCACGAAACTATCATTGCATTTCATCAAAAACACATCTGGTTAACCAATGTCCTTTAGTGAAGGAAATGTGCTGTCTTTACCTGATCTAGCTTGCATGTACCTCCATACCCACAGTAACATGGTTGACCACTTGTCACTGCCCTCTGAAATGACCTAACAAACCACTCAATTTAAGGGCATTTGAGGATGGGCTAGAAATGCTCTCTTTTGAGTGACACCCACATTTTTTTTTCTATTCATTTTGTGGGATGTGGGTGTCGCTGGCTGGCCAGCATTTCTTGCCCATCCCTAGTTGCCCTTGAGAAGGTGGTGGTGAGCTGCCTTCTTAAACCGCTGCAGTCCTCCTGCTGTGGGTTGACCCACAATGCTATTAGGGAGGGAATTCCAGGATTTTGACCCAGCAACAGTGAAGGGATGGTGATATATTTCCAAGTCAGGACGGTGAGGAACTTGGAAGGGAACTTGTACGTGGTGGTGTTCCCATATATCTGCTGTCCTTGTCCTTCTAGATGGAAGTGGTCGTGGGTTTGGAAGGTGCTGTCTGAGGATCTTTGGTGAATTTCTGCAGTGCATCTTGTAGATAGTACATACTGCTGCTACTGAGCGTCGGTGGTGGAGGGAGTGAATGCTTGTGGATGTAGTGCCAGTCAAGCGGGCTGCTTTGTTCTGGATGGTGTCAAGCTTCTTGAGTGTTGTTGGGGCTGCACTCATCCAGGCAAGTGGGGAGGATTCCATCACACTCCTGACTTGTGCCTTGTAGATGGCGGACAGACTTTGGGGAGTCAGGAGGTGAGTTACTTGCCGCAGTATTCCCAGCTTCTGGCCTGCTCTTGTAGCCACTCTGTTAATGTGGTGAGTCCAGTTGAGTTTCTGGTCAATGGTAACCCCCAGGATGTTGATAGCAGGGGATTCAGTGATGGTAACACCACTGAATGTCAAGGAATGGTGGTTAGATTGTCTCTTATTGGTGATGGTCATAGCCTGGCATTTATGTGGTGTGAATGTCATTTGCCACTTGTCAGCCCAAAAAAGATCCCATGAAAGAATTAAAAATACATATAGCTCTACTCCAACTTGGCAACTCCCTCACCCCCAAGTCTTGAACTTCACACATTCAGGCAGGCTGGGGGTTTTGCTATTCTTCCAGAATGCATTCTCTTCAGTCTTGGAAGTCAGGCAGTGACCTGGCTTCAAAGCTGCTAACTTTTATTTGATCCTGACAGTGAAATGGGCAACTCATTTTGTTTCTCATTGTGTTCACCGTGATCAAGCAATGGTGTATAAAGGATAGAGAACAGGATGAGATTCCTGTACTTCTTCAGTACACCTGCTCCAGCTATATCAAATAGTTACTGGACTACAGCTCTGTAACCATTATTTTTGAGGTCCCATATCCCACCTATAACTGTTGGCCAAAATGTATCAACCATCTCACACATTGACACCTATTATAGCGTGTGGCCTGCTACACCTGATAGGACTTCTCCCTTTCACATACATCCTGGTAGTCCCACAGCCATATAGGTAAAGTCAACCTTTCTGAAACGATCGCTGAATCTTCAGTTGTGTGAGTATCAACAACTCTGGTGGTGATAGATCACAATGCAGTGGGGTGAGCTAATAATTTAGCAATGCCGGATAAAACTCAAGTGTTTTTTTTTTCCAAAAGGAACTTGCTTGACTTCCCTATTCGAATGTTGATATCGCTGTGAGCTTGTGATGTGTTAAATCCAGAACTGGCTACAAACTGGTGGAAAATTGATTCAATGCTGACGGTGGCGGATAAGTGAAGTAGACTGCATTGTCCTGGATAGTGTCAAGCATCTTAAATGTTGTTGAAGCTGCACTCATCCAGACAAGTGGGGAAAATTCCATCACACTCCTGACTTGTGCCTTGTAGACGGTGGAAGGCATTGGGAAGAAAGTGGGTGAGCTACTCACCTCAGAATTCCTTGCATCTGACCCGCTCTTGTAGCTACAATTTTATGTAGCTGTTCAGGTTCTTGTCAATGGTAACCCACAGAATATTGCTAGTTGTGTATTCAATGATGGGAATATCTTTGGATTTCAAAGGGAGATAGTTAGGTTCACTTTTATTCGAGTCAGTCATTGTCTGGCAAGACTGTAATTTGCCACTTATCAGCTCAAGACTGAAAGCTGCACAGGTCTTGATGCAAACAAATATGGACTGAATCAGTATCTGAGGATTTGCAAATGAATTGAATGATGTGCAATCATCAGCAAACATCCTACTTCTGACTTTACAATGGAGGGAAACTTATTGATGACACAGCTGAGGGTAGTTAGGTCAAGGACATTAGTCTGAGCAACTCCTGCAGAAATGCTCTGGGGTTGAAGATGAATGATTTCCAACAACAACCACCTTCCTTTGTGCTAGAAATGCTTCCAACCAACAGAGTTTTCTGTTTTCACTTGACCTCGAAAGTCCACCCCTTTCAGTCCACGCTTGAACCAAGGCTGTAATATGGTCAGGATCTGAGTGGCCCTGGCAGATTTCAAACTGAGTGTCGTTAAGCAGCTTATTCATTTGCAAATGCTGCTTGATGGCACTGTTGGTTGAGGATAGATTGATAACATTCAGCACTTTACCACATTACTGAGAGGATGTGACAGTGTTGTAGCTATACTGGAACAACTTGGCTGGGGTCATGGATAGTTCTGGCGCATAAATCTTCAGGGCTATTGCTAAAATGGTGACAGGACTATAGCCTTTGCAGTATCAAGTAACCTCAGCCATTTCTTGATAACGCATGGAATGAATTCAATT